CCACGATTAATAATGAATCCACAGTATACCTGAGCCCTACATTATTTTAGAAGGTTATGTATGATTCCATTTTTGAGATTCTCTATAATAAAATACAAAATTGGTTCTCGGTCTTGGTAAGTGATAGTTATTTCAAAACTAAATTGAAACAAAACTACACTGTTATTCCTGACAGAAGAAAACGGTGGGTTAAATCTGGATTTATAGCTAGCTAAACCTCCCACTTATATGAGTGTTTTTAAAGTTGTTTTTAGTTCCGTTATATTGACAAAATTGGGTGAGCAACCCAAACAGATATAATAGGTAAATGTGACAATAATTGAGATCCAGCAGTAAAAACTGTGTAAACATACTCCACAGACATACAAAATGGTGAGGGGTTAAATATGTTTTTGAGCACTCAATTTAACCTCCCCTACCCTGGGCAGTGGTGTAACAGAACAACATAAGAACAAACTGTAAAAATCATTTGGAAATTGCTTGACTCATCAGATCGACACAATGCACAAAAACGCAACTAACATAAAGACAAAAGACAGAAAGAACCGATCTAAGAGTACTGACACTTATTTGAGTTGTACATAGCTATAACCTCAATTTAAACTCAGTACAGATGATTTGATTTGAGTGATATCAACATTAACACCATAAGAATACAGATTTATATGAACTTTTTATTTTGGCACGGAATTAAATGTCCTGGTTAAATGTTTACAAGTGTGATGGTGAAGTGACGTATGTAGAAGAGTTTTACATTTTACACGTATAAGTTTATCATACCCTCCTGTAGAATAATTTCACCATGTGCATTTTAGCGAGAAATTATAAAAACGCTTCAAGATAAAGTTGCCTATTGAACAGTGCATAATCTGATAATGGTGGCAAATTAAAGACTTAGGTAAAAGGCAACAGTAAATCAAAGATGATTGGTGTGTCGATAAGTTGAACGGCTTACGAATAACATACGAATAACAGGTTAGGGGACTCCGAGGTTGGCGCGCCCGCCAACATGTTTAACCATGCCACATTCTTTATGTGCTATGTAAGGAGCCTGTAATTCAGTGGTTGTCCTTTGTTGTTGTATATCATATTTGTTTTTCGTTTAAGCTGTATATCATATTTGTTTTTCGTTTGTTGCTGTTTATCATAATTGTTTTTCGTTTGTTGCTGTATATCATATTTGTTTTTCGTTTGTTGCTGTATATCATATTTGTTTTTCGTTTGTTGCTATCAGGGGCGGATTCAGGCGGGGCGTGGCGGGCGTGCGCGCCCCCCTAAAATTTGCAAAGCATGGGTTAATAAAGAATATTTCGATAATGTTACCTTAAAAATAAATTCGCCTAGCTCCGCTTGGCGAAAATTTAAGTTTGCACCCCCACCTAACCTAAAATCCTGGATCCGCCCCTGGCTATATATCATATTTGTTTTTCGTTTGTTGCTGTATATCATTTTTTTTTATTTTCGTTTACTAGTATTGTTTTGTACAGAAATCAGGCCGATAGTGTTCTCGTTTGAATTATTTTACATTTGTCATCTGGGTCCTTTTATAGCATGCATTTTGTTTATTTGTTAAAGGCCGTACAATAGTAGAGTTATAGTAATATAGTTATTAACCTTTTACGTCCTGTGTCGCTCACCTAGGTCTTTGTGCATCTTCATCAATGGACACTTTCCAACATTGTTAACTAGAATGTTGTTCATAACTAAAATATCTCTTGTGTCATACATTTTAGTTATAGTATAGAGTTAAACTGTTTCCCGTGTGAAACTGAAATATCATACACCTTATCGCTACTTAGTCCAATCCGTAAAAAAACAGTCACTTATACAACTTCCAGTTTGGGTCAAGTGTTGCAAAAGTAATGTTATCAGTTGCAAGCTATAAGGAAGGAAAAAGTTTAGAAAGCAAACATTTTGAAACTTTGATGGATTATGATCCACTTTTTTAAAACACAAATTAAAGCATTAAAATGCTTTGTTTGAAGTGTTTACGATGGTTTAAACATTTCTCTTTGAAAAGTTTTATACATAATACATTGTTTAAACAGGGCCCCAGATAGCTTCAACTGGACGAAAAAGTTGTGTAATTTTAGAACTTATCCGGATTTGAATAGATAGCGATAAGGTGTATTGTCACTAAGGGCACTAACATAATAAAGAGTTGACCAACAATTTCAGATAAATTAACTTTATTTGTAGATCTTGCTTTGTGGATCATTATTGTTCTCTTGAATCTTGAAATATAAAACGTGACACCAGGCACGAAAAGAGCAGAAGAGTTGGGAAATATACACACTGTAAGAAGGGGTCAAAGGTAAATCAATGTCCAAAAAAGGAAAATTAACAATAGGGAACCCAAAATCGTCGTTTTTGGTATAACGTTTCCCATGTGAAACTGAAATATTAAAATCTGGAAAAAGACGGTTATCATAGGAATGTACATATTTGTTCTAGAGGTTATTGATGGGTAAACTGGACCTATTAACCCACAAACTGACTAAAATAAAATTGAGAATGGAAATGGGGAATGTGTCAAAGAGACAACAACCCGACCATAGAGCAGACAACAGCCGAAGGCCACCAATGGGTCTTCAATGCAGCGATAAACTAAAAGCCCGAATGGCTTTCATGTATAGTTTGTGAGTGAGTCGCCCAATTTGATAATTTAACAATTTACCAGTTATAATACGTAAATTATGTTCATTTAATATAAAACGTCACTACAGGCACAATTAAAGCAAAATAGTTGGGAAATAGAGACACCGTAATGGGGGGCCAAAGAAACATCACCGTCCAAGGAAATAAAAATAAGAATGTAAAAGAAACACCATGTGGAAGTGAAAATCTAGGAAAGGACAGTTAATGCTGTTTATATTCGATTTATTCAAAGTAATCTTCGGAAAATTTCCACAGAATAATTTAGAGATTTCTTGATTATTTACAGTAAAAATATCACAACGGAAACGGTATTTTTTCTTTCTATAAAATGGAATTTAGTCAGATCTTTTCTGAGTTTTGCTATTAACTGTGATTTATAGCAATACATGAACAATTCTGCTATTACAGTGGCTCAATTGGTGCCCATAGGAATACCTACAACATGTCGATAACTTTATTGTCGAAACTTATAAAGTCAGGGAAGCATTAACACAGTTTCAGAAAGTGTATCTAGCATAGATATATACCGTTTAATATCATTACAGGAAAAAGGATTCATATCAGTATACATGTAAACTTTGTAATATTTTATTTCAGTAGTCTAATTTAGTGAATAGTATTAACTTTTTTATTATTACTGTAAACGGTGTCCTGATCTAATATAGCCGAATAACGGGATTCGTTATCTGGTTTCATCTCATCTCGTGACCTTTGAACTGTTAAGATTATGTTGCTGTTTGACAAACATGGAGCAATATATGATACTAGTTGCCAAGCTAGTTAGTGGAAAGTGATTCAACGCGTACGATGTAATGACAAACATTGGGTTATAGTGAAGAACGTCCGCATTATTTGTGTGTGGAGGACCTGTACGACTATTTCTAAGCAGTGATATATATACGATTTTTTACAATGTTAAACTAACACTTTCTACTACACACAAGTCAATTAATTAGAGATTTCAGGTTTAGATAAGTTTGAAAGGGGAAGGATGTGGGATTGGGTGCACACTGAACAACAATTCTTTATAGTAAAAATGAACAGTTCCGAAGTTTATTCCTCCTCTTCCTCGCGATGAATAGTTTATGTCTTCACTTAAAACAAATCTCAGAGATCATAGCATTATTCCTCCTCTCCATTGTGATGAACAGCTGATGGATGGTCTACACTGTAAAACATAACGGAGTGGTCATACCTATCAAGGAGGTACATACTTTATTGACACTGCTACACTGTCGAGCATATGCAGGAGTAGTCAAATTAATTGTATAAAAAATGATGGACTTCTTTCTACAAATTTCATCCTGGGTTTTCTGATATCAAAGGACTTTTAATGATCGAACTTGAATCTAACTCGAACTTTAACTCTTACTCTAACTCTAACTTCAATTCGAACTCGAACTCTAATCATAACCCTAACCCTAACCCTAACTCTAACTCTAAACTCTAACTCCAAATTCTAACTCTAACTCTAGTCAAATTAATTGTATATAAAATGATGGAGGACTTCTTTCTACAAATTTCATCATGAGTTTTCTAATATCAAAGGACTTTTAATGATCGAGCTTGAATCTAACTTTAACTCTAACTCTTAACTTCAACTCGAACTCGAACCCGAACCCTAACCCTAACCTTTACCCTAACCCTAACCCTAACTCTAACTCTAACTCTAACTCTAAACTCTAAACTCTAACTGTAGCTCTAACTCTTACTTCAACTCGAACTCAAACTCGATGGTTAGCCACACTCGTTAATTTTACTTGTCAAACACAACTTCAACTCGAACTCATGATTAGCCACACTCGCTTATTTTACTTGTCAAACACATTTTTGATTATTATTGTATGTGGGACAATTATATATGTAATATTATTGTTCATGGCCTAATATTTTTAAACTATCTTGTTTGTTGAAAGCTAATTCTAGATCGCTTACAATTAAGCTCTGTAACTATTTAAAGAATGCATGGAAAGCTAGATCTGATATTATTGGTTAGTTATGTTATTATTGTATTGTTCTCTGTTATCAGTCTTTTGTCACATTGTGTATATATTATGTATTGCCATAGCATGTTTTGTATGCTTTTGCAAATAAAATATTCATTCAACCCACCTAATCCGATAACGATTTTCACATGTATAAAGCCTAAACCGCGTTAAACCAGTGAAATGTCAATAATAAAACGTTGAAATGTTTACCTGTATTCTGAAGAAATTAGAAGTATTTTGGGAAATTCCAACTAACACACCCATGATTTTTGGAAAACTAATTTTTATATTTAAAAATACTAACCTAACATAAATTGAGGTCAAGCTGGGAACAGTATATCTAACAATATATATATGTTCCTGGGTGAAGTAATAGTCAAATCAAGTCGAGGTGGTGCAACTTTTTAAACTAATATTACGTAAACGTTATCTGTATCAAACATCACAATAAAACAAAATAATGTAAATATTACTATCTTAAAACAAAATAATTCAAATATTACTATCTAACACCGACACCACAAGGGAAATCAATAAAAAAGATTGCGTTGACACGTGACTAAACAGATCCCGGTGAAAACTTGTCACAGGATAGGAACGGAAGAAATCACTTCAAACAGAATGGAGGTGAGACACATTTTATTATATTTCAATTGATATTTTAATCGTTGCCACTATTTAGATGATTTAGGCAGAGACATTTGATATCTGGACATGAGCATAACTTACCCCAAGAAATCTAGACTGTAAACTGTTGCACTGGCATTCTTATTTCATTTCAGTATGCAATTTTAAAAGATAAAAGTTTACTTTCAAACAAACCAAGACTCATGTCGCCTAAATCCCTTTTTGAATTATCATTATTATAAAGACTCTCCAAACAAAGCAGGATCACGGTGGGTTTATAATGTTTTTAATATAACTATTTATTTGCATGCTTTGTTTTATTTGTTATTGTATATGTTTATATATTCGGTGAAAAGCTCATTAGAGCTCACGTTTAAATTGTTTGTTCATATGCCGATTCAAAATAAAGTTTTACTTACTTACTTGCTTGCTTACTTACTTACCTACTTACTTACTTCCTTCGATCCGTGCCTCCGTTTTAGTGTTGGATATAGTCTTAGGGCAATTGGATGGCGGATAGAAAGGCAGGTTTTGTACATAAATCAGGCCGTTAGTTTTCTCGTTTGAATTGTTTTACATTTGTCATTTCATGGCTTTTTATAGCTTGCTATGCGGTATGGGTTTTATAGCTCATTGTTGATGGCCGTACATTGACATATAGTTGCTAACCTTCTGTGTCATTTGGTCTCTGGTAGAGAGTTGTCTCATGGCAACCATACCACATATTATTTTTAAATAAAACTTTAGCATGTTTGTCTTGTTAAATGAAAGAATAAGACGTTTAATATTATGTTTAAAAAATATTTTTAAATTGATTTAAATACTCTAGTTTCATGGTGTAACAAACGTGTCTAAGCTGTTACTATATGTTTTTATGTTACATATAATTTTGAAATATATTTTGTTGCCTTCGAAACTTAGTTTTTCTAAAGACCATTAACATTATAAGTGTTACGCTTGCAGTTGTCCTAGGTTTATTGGAACATTTCTTCAGACAGCAAGACAAAGTCGTCTACATATGTAAGTGCGCTACAAAATGAGATAAGGAAGTGGTTATTTTATGACAAAATATTTTAAGAGCCGATTGATTAAATTTTTGTTACACCAAGGACAATATAACCAGGTATAAGTATATTCTTTACTAAAACGTGATTTTTTTTGGGCATATACAGGTAAACGTTTCTCTCGCGTATCTAAAAAGAAAACCTTGAAATTTGTTAAATGACTACTGTTTTTGATAAATAATCTTGATTTTTTCAATTTTAAGTAAGGGACAGGTAATCAATGATGCAAGTTTCTGTCTGAAGTTGGTTATGTATGATATGTGGTGTTGCAATTGTGTACGAAAGGATAAAATGATAAAAAATCGATACCAAAGGACAGTATTTTACAGCCTTTTTTATAATGTCCTTATTGTGAACCCTTGACCATGTTTTCCCGAATGTGAGTCCACAAGGTATTACATCATGTATGATACTGAAGTTAATTGATTGATTGACTGGTGATTGCTGATTGCTTAACGACGCTTCAGCACAAAAAGGCTATATCGCGGAGATGACTGAAATTGTTATTAATTAATTTAACAAAACAAATTATGTTTGTTATTTAACAGTATCAAATGAATAACCCATAGACCAACTGCTAGATGAGACTATGCATGAAAACTCCATTCCATATTCAACAGGGGCGATATTTATTGCATGTGTTTTTTTAATTCTTCCGAAGGATGATGCGAAAAGAAAAATAAACACAAAGGAATTATTTTTTTTTACAAAAGTAACATGTCGAATAAGGCCACCTGTGGAACTTTGATTGGAATTATAAAATAGTTAAATACATCAGATGTTGAATCATGAGTTTGGTTACGTCTGAAAAATCATCAGAAAATACTACATTTGTGTCGATCCTGCGACTAGTTTTTCTGCCAGGTAACATTACATTCACTCTGTGGTTAAAGTTTTAGAAATTTTAATAACTTTCTTAAACTATCCTGGATTTCTACCAAACTAGGATAGACGCTTGTTTATGATCATAAGATAGTATATCCAGAAGTAAATAATGTAAAAAAAAATCCTATTTATCCGTATTTTACTTATAAATGGACTTAGTTTTTCTGCCAGGTAACATTACATTCACTCTGTGGTTAAAGTTTTATAAAATTTAATAACTTTCTTAAACTATCCTGGATTTGTACCAAACTTGGACAGAAGCTTGTTTATGATCAAATGCTAGTATCAAGAAAGAAATTTTGTAAAAATTTACTTCCTGTTTTTCCGTATATAACTTATAAATGGACTTAGTTTTTCTTCCAGTTAACATTACATACAGTCTGTAGTTAAAGTTTTTAAAACATTTATTAGATTCATAAATCATTAAAGTTTTTAAAACATTTATTAGATTCATAAACCATTCTGGATTTTTACCAAAAATAGTATCTATAGGAAAATTTTTAATAATTTTTTCCCCATTTTTGTTGAGCCTGTGACTAGCAGCAAAAGTAGGCGAGACACTTGGTTCCGCGGAACCTTTACGAATTTTTTAGACTAAAGAATCGTTTTTTTTTTCAGCAAAAGGAAATGCCACCACCATACAGTGGTCCACCACAAGGTGCCCCACCACCTCAAGGATATGGACCACCGCCGCAACAAGGGTATGGTCCACCACCTCCTCAGGGGTATTACCCACAGCCTCAACCTGCATATGCCCCACCACCACAACATTATTATCCACCACCACCACCACAACAAATGCAGCAGCAGCAACAACAAACAACAGTTGTAAACATTGGTGGTGCACAACAATCGACAGTTTTAGTGCAACAAAGAGAACGGTAAGTACTACACAATATTTTGTTAATATGACAATGTTTTGTCTCACCTCCACGATATCGTTGAGGCGAGACCTAAGAAAAAAATGAAAAAAATGGGCGTCTCACTTCAAAGGCTACGTCAATTGTTAGTTTGTGATATGGTCAGTTTAAGGGGAACTGATAATGGTAATTCTATGAAATTTGGTATGCAGTTATGTTAGCATTGGCATATCATTATTTCCTTGAAGATTACTTGAACCAGCTCCCTCTGTCAGGGTTCATTTACCTTATAAATAAGAAGATGTGGTATGAGTGCCAATGAGACAACTCTCCATCCAAGTCACAATGTGTATAAAGCATACTTTGCAGTTTGTGATTACAGTTTCAGGGAAACCAGTAATGTTTTTCTAAACCAGTAATGTTAAGTCAATGGTATTTGATATGCAGTTGTATTAGCATAACCATGAATATTATTTGGCCTCGCTCTCCAGTTAAAGTCCATTTACTGATACTTTTGCATAGTTCACATGTTTAATAGTTTGTGATAAGGTTGATTTAAGGGGAACTAGTAAGGGTAAGTGAATGACAAAAAATAATGATATTCAGTTGTATCTCTTGTACATGGAGATTATTTGGTCCTTGATAATGGTCCATTGACTTTGGGAGATTATTTGGTCCTTGATAATGGTCCATTGACTTTGGGAGATTATTTGGTCCTTGATAATGGTCCATTGACTTTGGGAGATTATTTGGTCCTTGATAATAGTCCATTGACTTTGATACCTTTGCACGGTTTACATATTGAAGTGTTTCCATTTAAATTTCAATATTTGCCTTATCACACAGTCAGCAGTTTATCCAAAACATGCAATGAATTTCATCACGTAAAAAGTCTAAATTATTTTGTCCTATAGTTTTACATCATTTTTATCAGACAGACTACTTGACTACAACATTCCTTTGTTAGATATCAAACTGTAGATTAACCAGTAAGCCTTGTTAGATTCTTTGTATTTATAGATTTCAAGTATCCTAAGGAAAGACTTTACGAGCAACGATGGTATTGCTATAACTAGGATCGAAGTTCTTTTCCGTATTAATCTTAACTCTATCATGAAGCTTATTGCGTTAAAATATACCATTTCAGTAAATGATTCTCATATTTTGATCATGAATTCTATTTTGTTTTGGGATAGTTGTTTTTTTATCAATTTTGTCAAGTTATTCCGGACATGATAATAATACTATATTTTACTTATAAAAAAACTAGGTCAATTATTTTCATTGTATGGAATGTAAGCCTCAAATATATGTCCAGCCGCAAATCTTCCCTCAGATCTGTGTCCTATTCTGTATTGTGTCATAGACGCTACAAATCTATGTCATTTCTTTTCTCAAATCTGTGTCTCTTTCAACAACGTCCTATGTGTTGACATCATCGAGGAATGATAATGAAGATAGGACTTGAGTTTTTTGCCACAAAAAAAACTTATACTTCTGATCTTTCAATCAGTAATTAGCCTTAATATCAAGTTTTTTTTTAATCAAGGAAATAGTGATGAACACAGTCAGAATATAAAAACTTGTTGTCGAACCAGAAGTCGCAGAAAGCTCGATATAGGGATAGTGATCCGGCGGCAGCAGCGACGGCGTTAACTAACTTCTTAAAAGCTTAATATTTCAGAAGGTAGAGGACCTGGATGTTTCATACTTTGTATGTAGTTGCCTTATGATATGAAGTTTCCGTCTGTCATATGTCCATTGTCCTTGACCTCATTTTCATGGTTCAGTGACTACTTGAAAAAAAGGTGAAGATTTTTTGTAATGTTTATTTCTCTCTTATAATGATTAATAGGATAACTTTATTTGGTATGTGCGGTACCTTTCAAGGTCCTCATGCCTGTCAGACAGTTTTCACTTCACCTCGACCTCATTTCATAGATCAGTGAACAAGGTTAAGTTTTCTTGGTCAAGTCCATATCTCAGATACTATAAGCAATAGGTCTACTATATTTGGTGTATGAAATGATTGTAAGGTGTACATGTCCAACTGGCAGGTGTCATCTGACCTTGACCCCATTTTCATGTTTCAGTGGTAAAAGTTAAGTTTTTGTGTTTTGGTCATTATTTCTAATACTGTATGTAATAGGTCAACTATATTATGTGTATGGAAATATTTTACGATGTACATGTCAGTCTGGCAGGTTTTTATTTGACCTTGACCTCATTTTCATGGTTCATTGCTTAATGTTAAGTTTTTGTGTTTTGGTCTGTTTTTCTTAAACTTTAAGCAATAGGTCAACTATATTTGGTGTATGGAATGATTGTAAGATGTATATGTCTGTCCGGCAGGTATCATCTGACCTTCAACTCATTTTCATGGTTCATTGGTCAATGTTCAGTTTTCCTTGTTAACTATGTTTCTTAGATACTATAAGCAATAGGTCAACTATATTTGATGCATGGAATGATTTTAAGGTGTACATGTCTGTCGGGCGGGTTCATTTGGCCTTGACCTCATTTTTGTGGTTCATTGGTCAATATAAAATTTCCAGGGGTTGGTCTGTTTCTTTTATACTATAAGCAATGAGTCATCTATATTCGGTGTGTGGAATGATTGTTTTAAAGGTGTACATGTATTTCCGACTTGGTTTATCTGACCTCGACCTCATTTTCTTGGATCATAAATGTTAATGTGATACTTGTAAAACTTTATATTTAGGACTTTCAACATAAAATCAATGGTCAGTATAGAAGGCGAGACATTTCAGCGTGTGCACTCTTGTTTTTATTTCAATATGAATTCTTCAAATAAGTAACGAAGGCTTGAAGGACAAACAGTAAAATAAATTCGAGTTCTGTTATATCGAAACTCTGTATCTTGTTTCTTGTCGTTTTGTATATAGTTAAATTTTGAACTATGTGCAGATCTGATGAGTCAAGCCCTTTCCAACTGATTTTTATAGTGTTTTCCTATGTGTTGTCACACAACGGTCCCAGGATAGGGGAGGGTTGAGTGCTTTAATTTCAATACTCTAATCCCTCTGCAATCTTCAAGTGCCTTCCGAAGTCATAGATCTGAAGAAAGGACACAGATTTAAGGCTAGACAAAGTGCCAAAGATATGAGTGTCATGACGTCATGTGACACAGATTTGAGGCTGGACATAGATTTAACTCTTACATATATACTGAGACCATAGAATTTTAAAAAAAAACTTGTCAGAATAAAACTTATCTTAATAACTAGTAATGGCTATATTTCTGAGGCTGATTTTTGGGGGAAGGGACCCGCCCCCTTATTGAACTACATTCATGGTTAATGCATAGACCCTCTACACGTCTCACTCCTAACGTTATCTTGTTGGCCCCTCCCATTTTTTCAAAACCTTGGATGCGCAGCTGTATTAAGGCTTAAAACATGACAATGTTTAAATTAAGAAATATCCTGTCAAGTGGTACACCGGTTAGTTTATATCGCCTGGAAACAAATAAACCCAATATTTTAAAGATAATCAAAGGGCAAAATTGTCAAAATCCAACATAATCTCTTTTTGTCTCGCCTGCGACTTCTGTCGCAGAAAGCGAGACATAGGGTTAGTGGCGGCGGCGTAAACTTATAACTTAAAAGCTTAATATTTCAGAAGGTAGAAGACCTTGATGCTTCATACTTTTTTTTATAGATATCTATGTTATGAAGTCTCCGTCTGTCATATTTCCATTGTCCTTGACCTCATTTTCATGGTTCAGTGACTACTTGAAAAAAAGTTAAGATTTTTTTATAATGTTAATTTTTCTCTTTTTATGAGTAATAGGATAACTATATTTGGTATGTGCGTACCTTTCAAGGTCCTCATGCATGTCAAACAGTTTTCACTTGACCTGAACCTCGTTTCATGGATCAGTGAACAAGGTTAGTTAAGTTTTCTTGGTCAAGTCCATATCGCAGATACTACGAGCAATAGGTTTACTATATTTGGTGTATGAAATGATTGTTAGGTGTACGTCATGCCCAACTGACATGTGTCATCAGACCTTGATCTCATTTTCATGATTCATTGGAATATGTTAAGTTTTTGTGTTATGTTCTGTTTTGCAAGTACAATAAGCAATAGGTCAACTACATTTGGTGTATGGAATGATTGTAAGGTGTAAATGTCTTGTCTGGAAGGTATCATCCGACTTTGACCCAATTTTCATGTCTGTCCGATAGAGTTCATCCGTCATTGACCTCATTTTCATGGTTGGTTGGTCATCCTTAGGTTTTCGTGATTGTTTCCTCCTTCAGACACTATTAATAATGGGTCAACTATATTGAGTATATATATAGGATTGCTATGTGTACGAGTACGTCTGGCCTTTACTAAATATAAAAGGCACAATAGCAACGTTTTGTTAGTAGGTACGTTTTCTCCGATACTATAAGTAATAGGTCAACAACATTCAGTAAATTGAAGGATTACAATGTGTACATGTTCGTCTGGTAGTGTTCATCTAGTTATAATCTCATTTTCATTGTTCGTTGATAATGTAAAGTTTCTGTATAACCTTATTTTAAAGGCATTAAACATAAAATTCAATCACAATTATTTTCAGTAAAGTAGGCGAAACATTATTAGTGTGTTCACTTCTCTTGTTTTTATTCTGTTCTTTTTCAAAATCAAAAGCAAGAAATATTTTATAAAAATCCCGCAAAGAGCAAGTTTTTTTTTAATACGAACTAAAGGAGGTTGAATAGGTCTCATACTATTGGAGCGTGATACATTTAACGATGTAGACTCTTTAGAACCTTTATATTGGTTCAATTTTCCAAGTAATTCATCGTCAATTTTTCGGACTTCAAATGAATGTGAATATATTTTCAGTTTGACTTAAGTGTTCCTTATGTATAAGTTAATGGTCGATAGAAATACATATCGACTTATTGTGTGTGAACTCTTTAGTGAATGTGATTTATGCATCCTGACCTATTTGATTGGAGCATTTTTCGCATTGGAACGATACTCTAATAGATGAGTTATGTACGTCAATGAAACGGAAACCCAACAACAAAACTTGAAAACAAACAACAGAAAAATACATCTGGCGGTCAACATACAGTCGGATGGTGATTAAAACCAGATCTGCAATTGCTGCTTTCACTGATCAATATGTATCAAATGAAGAGCTGGTTTAAATCGGATTGCAACAAATGGCAAAAATAGCTAGTGGTGACCAGTGCCATTGAATATGAAAAGTTATGAAAAATAACGGCTGAGATCAAAGTTGTTGAAGGCTGCAGTTCTTCATTAGAAAATGTATTTTTATAGATTGAATAATTACGAAATATCGGGAGTAGTATTATTCCTGTTCTGCTCCCCTTTATATATATCTCGAATATTAATTAAGATATATATGATGTATATACCAATAAGCAGCACATAGATAATCTGTAAGTCGCAGGTCGTCTTTACGTCTTTCCTCTTATAAAATGTCAAACATTCGTTGCTGTTACCTAATGAACACCAGAAAAGGCAATAATTTACAACAGTATAAAAAGTAAGTTTTTAAGTTGTAACTAATAGGTTTGTCTTTATTGTTGACGTCAATTACTTGTACATCATGAAAATCATTGTAAATTATCTAAAACAGGATATAACAAATACAAAATAATAGGTTCGTCCAGGAAAAATAAAGAAAAATGAATAATTGATAAGTATGTAATTAGTCCTAATTATATTCGCTTAGATCACATGCGGTTGTGGAATTGACACCTCGACTTTTTCTTAAAAATATTTTTATGTTTTTTTTAAATATTTTTAAAGTAAATATTCTTTCATATTTTATCCTATTTAATATGTTCTTGCTCTTATCCATACGATATTACAATACTATTAACAGTTATCAATTATGGACATTTGACGAGGTTAATACGCGTATTTATATGGACTTGTTCAGATTATATTGACCAAGGACGAAGTCCCGGAGTGTCAATATAATCTAACAGGTCCATATATAACGTATTGACAGGGAGAGTCCTTTATTTATATATTACATATGTAATTATATAAATAGTGTATTATTGAAATCGACTTCAATGTTCTTTCTGTGTATTTTGCATTGTATTTTGCATGATGTTTAATATTGACCGTAAATACATATATATAAATAGAAACATAGAGTCCATGATACTTGAATACCCTTTGAATCAAGTGATCGTAACAACCAATGAAAATAGAAGAATGCTACACCATATGTAATATTAGTTTATATTTGATGCCCTCTATTCTTATACTTGCGGAAAATAAAGAATAGAGGGACATCATGACGTATATAAACTGTTATTGTAATATCGTATGAGCAAGAACACATTAAATAAGTTAAAATATTAAAGAATATTTCTAAATCCTTACATTTTTATTAGCAAACGGTAGCAAATCAAAATTAAATCAAATACTTAAACAAAAAAATTCCAATCATTCAAAAACTAAAACTATCATCAATTACAGAGAGAAAAAAATGTCCAACACCAAAAAAACTGGTGAAATAGGAAGACAATATATAGTAATAAGGCCAATTTAGTATACTAGAATAGATTTGCATTAACAATGCTTCTGTTTTTCAGGTTTGCTGACAAAATCTGTTTGAATATTGTGATTACACTGTTCTTTCCGTTTTGGATAATTGTATGGATTTGTATGGTAAGTTTTTTTTTTAAATATTTAGTTTTTTTACGATGCAGTTTCTGCCAGAAATACGTTGTTCTTTTTTGTTGTTTTGTTTTAAACTGTCAGACCAACTTTATTGCCAGAAATATGTAAATTGGAGACTACAAATGACATAATTACTAAGCACTTCTACTAAGCCACAACTAATACAGAATGCACTTCACCGGAACTTGTCAATATGAAAGATATCAAATCAAATTAAAGGTATGCGGGTTTGAAAATGACTTCAAAGAGAGGCGAAGGATACAAAAAGGGACATTCAAACTCACAAGTCGAAAATAAACTGACAACACCATGGTTAAAAAGAAAAAGAAGAACAGTACACAAAACAAAACATAGAAAACTAAAGAGTGAGCAACAAGAATCCCACCAAAAACAGAGGGGTGATCTCAGGTGCTCCGGAAGGGTAAGCAGATCCTGCTCAATCGTCTATACTTACCGCCGCGCCGGTTGTTTCATTGTAACATGCTTGTCTCAAGTGTCAGAGGTCGTAAATTCGATCACAAGCCGGAACAATCAAAGACTTTAAAACTGGTAGTTGATGCTCCTATGTGAAGAACGCATATTTAGAAATAGGAGCATATGCATGTTAACCGAGGTTGTCATGCATTCATTGTGACCAAGCACGTTAAAATCTGCCCCAGCGTATCGTTTTATTACAAAGCAATGCATTATCACACAACAATAACATGTAACCGTTCGGAAAATGCATGTAATACTTGCTGCTAGACGTTCAAGAAAATTTGCGCATGCTTAATTATGTTTAAAACAACGTTTTGTAGTGATCCACATTTGGAAAATAAAAAAAATAATGGGCAATTTTAGAAATGTTCGGAATACAATCCATCCCCATAGAAGATGTTAGAACCTTTTTGCTTTTTGGAAGATAATGGATTTAAAAAAAATTTGAGTTTGGAAAACAAAATCTTGCTTTTTCCCCCTAGGAAAAAAAGTAAACTGACTTTACATGTCTTCTATTATGGTGGGGAGATACAGACTACTTCTGGATCACAGAATATACCTATTATATCATACTTTTGAAGCTGACCGATATTACTTGGCAACAATGATAAAGTAAAAAAAACTAGAAGCGAATTTTGTTTCTTACATATGTTTCTGCTGTCAGATTATAATTAGTTTTTACCACCGATGGCGACAAAGCAAAATCCATAGTAATGGTCAGTTTAATTAGTGTAGATTCGTAGTGGAGGGAGACTTTCAGTTTTGATACACATAGCTAATGTTCGTTGTTGTAGCTGCGGGACAACGAACTGTACTTAGGAAGAAAATACACTTCCAATATGCATCAGCGTATAATTGTTAAATAACACCACGTAATTTTTGTCTCGCCTTTGTGGAGTCAAAAAGCAAGACATAGATATGCTGTTTCCGGCGTCGTCGGAGGCATCAACAATGTATTAGTTTGTGATTAGATCGGTTTATGGGAACCACTATTGGTAGGTCAATGACAATTGGTATGCATTTGTATTAATATTAGCACATCTCATTGCCATGGAGATTATTTGGTCCCGTCCCCTCAGTCATGGTTTATTGACTTTGAAACCTCTGCTTACTTTACATGACTTTGTATTAGTTTGTGATTAGGTCAGTTTATGGGGAATCACTAGTGGTAGGTCAATGATATTTGATATTCAGTTGTATAATCATTGGCAAATCTAATTTCCATGGAGATTGTTTGGCTCTGTACCTTAAGTCATGGTTAACTGACTTTGAATATAAGGCGAGACACATTTTTGTGTAAACAGTTTATTTAGTACTTCTCTAACATCGCTTTTTATAACTTTTTTTTTCCTTTCAGTGCATTTGTGAAACTTAAAAAGACGATAAGTTGTGAAGATAGAAGATAGTGCTTATTGAGAGACATAATTTGTTCTATTTCTAATTTGTCAGGCATTCTTATTTATCAATGATTACAAGGACTATAACGAAATAAAACTGCTGGACATTTTTTTCGTATATGATTCTGAGTGTACATTCACAGGCACTTGTCTCTGAGTTTTTGTTTACCTATATACTTTATACAGGTAAATTTTCTTTCAGACAAGTGCTTGTGGTTAAACACATCAATTATCTCTTTACATAATATTTTTGATTGATAATTAGAAATAAAAAGACGTCCAAATTGCTATTTTTTTCCATTTCGTTGTCCACTGCTGGTTCAAAATGAGATACTAACAGAAGCCCACTGTTAAAGATGTATTAGCTACGATCTAGACCAAAAAAATAAAAATACGATTCTTTCCCCCCCCCCCCGAGTATTAATAAAAGCGGACTTTTGAAATGATATTTCGTTATAAGCCGTCAATTTGGCCCAAATTTGTCAAAATAAGCTCAAAAACATCAGTGATGTATCATTGACTTGCAATTCAATAATTCAACCTCAATTGAATCCGTATTCATGCATGTGACCTTCAATTTAACCCCTTAGCTGGGGATGGATTATGCATGTACTAGGCGTACTTAGCTATTAAAAGGAAAAGAATGTCAACATTGAAAGTAAAACAAGAGTGATTCATTTAGTTGATGACTAATTTTTTTTTATACATATAACATGAAATCAAACACACCTAGAAAAATCCAATTGCACGTGCTCGCTATCTATTTATTTGTTTATATCGGTTTTTATGACCGTCGGCAGTCTTCGGATGTCATCTCGATGGTGAATTAGATGGCGTCTAGACTAAATTACACACGAAATGCTGATACACAGTATCGAGTCCATGCATTATAAATTATTTATTTTGGACTTTTAAGTAATTTGGATATATGTTTTAGTATGTTATAAATCAAAAATGAGAATTTGAGTCAAATCGGTGAACATGAATTTGACAGCTGAAGCCCCTTTAAAGATGACTTACATGAAATGCAAGATTTGTGATAAGAGTTGGGTCAATTTCTCTTGAATTATTCACAAAAGATTAAAATAAAATAAGATGTGGTATAATTGTCACTGATTTGGGGCCTCGATGGCCGAGCGGTGTAAGTAGTTACTACTGTAATCACTAGCCAGTCAACACTGAGGTTGTGAGTTCGAACCCCGCTCGTGCTGTTGCACTCGACTGCAATCTTAATTGACTAGGATTGTCAGTTTTCCTATCGATGGTCGGTGGTTTTCTCCGGGCACTCCGGCTTCCTCCACCAATAAAAACTGGCCGCAACGAAATAGCCCCAAAACGGTGCTTAAAAGTGGCGTTAAAATACCAAAAATCAAATCAAATCACTTTTAGATTTTGACCCTGTGAGTGAAAAAAAAAATAACAGTGGGAAATTGGCCCTAACGCTTTTAAAATTTGTTGTAACTTATAATCAGTAGCACCGAAAAAATTCCATAATAATTGACCAACGACTGCCGCTTGTGGAAAAGGTTCTGAGCACCTGTTTTCGTTTGGTTGATCTATTGCTCAATCCATTTTGTGGACTTTGTCATTATCTCTTTTGCTCATAGTGCTGACTACCTTTCTTTGACTTATAAGTTTGATGTCCGCGGTAGTATCTTATTTTTTATTGACAAATCAGCAAAATCAATAAAAAATAATTTATTGTACAGTTTATTGACCTTTTTCAAAATTACGAATTCTTTCGATTTTTAGTTAGACAGAACAAGGAGGTTATATGGTTTCCTGTCCTTGACCTCATTTTCAAATATATGGAGCATCATTGCATGGGTTTTTCTGATGTACAGATAATATACTAATGTTCGGGTAATATATCTTGGTACCTGATAAGGATCTAAAGCTAGTCATGCATCACCCTTCATACGGCTCCAAAGTCATTTCCAGTTGCATGCGAAACGCCATGAGAATAAATAGATGGACGGTCATTGGAAAAAAAAACTCTTAGCATACTGACTTGTATGCACCAACCGAAGACACGAATATGTTATATTTGAACCATTCAAAAGCTTATCTGTTCTTTCTACTTTACAAAAAGGATCTGGGATAAACATTTCCAAATTAAACCAAAAACAAACGAAATGTCTTTCTTGCTCTTGTATGCTAAATTTATTCATGAAAACGTATCCTTATGAAAAGTACATCACGCGGTCAATCATACAGTTTTTACAAGATATTGCCGATTTAACCGATTTGCTAAAAATATCGTCATCTGCGAAAAGAGAAAAGGGATGTATAATTCATATCTTCTATATATCATATAATGATAATAAATGAAACAGATTATCTTTGTTTTAAGACGATAACCTGATTAGATAAAGCTTATCAAGTTCCTGATCGTCCTCAAAATAGCAGGTATGCACATAAGATAAAAGTACATTATATAAATGTAAAATACATCTACATATCATTTACAGCAAATGCTTCAGCAAACCAATAGATCATATTAAGCTTTACAATTTTTAACCTAACCAGGTAAATTAAATGTGTTGGGTAGAATGACTGAACGGGGAACTTGTACGTCTGACAGGGTGCATCTCGTTTTCATGGTTAAAATCAGTTTCTCTGATACTAAGTAAAATGTCAACTATGTTAGGGTTTCGAACTAGGTCACTTTTAAAGAGGTTTGATTCATCTTTACAAAATAGGGTAAGGGTTCCCCGACTCAAATGCCCAATCATATTACACATATTTGAAAAAAAGATATAAGAGATTTCATCTAAAAATTCGTATTCAAGCTTTTTATTCAATCTTGCTATTGCTGTCATGTTATAATGCTCCCTTCAAAATATTGATATATAGAAACCCCTTCTTGGTCCTTATTTAGGTAGGGGTTCTCATGAACTTGGCAAACCACCGGGTCTGGAAGCACGTGCCCAGTCAAACAGTTCAAAAAAATTTCAGACTTTTCAAGAGATTTCATCAATAAACCAAATTTTCTAAGAACTTCATACTATGTAACATATCCTTGACTTTTGATCAACTGGCCTAAAAATGATAGGATTCCACACTTTTTCTATTTTCAACCACTTCTTTTTTTTATCAAAGTTTTTATAGCATATATATAGAATTATAAACTGCAATACAAGAATCACCATTAAATAAGATATACACCCCCTTAATAAAAAATGCTTACACTTTAACAATGAACTCATATTAATGTTTGACTAATAACAATGGGAATGGTCAAATTTGTAATGCCATTCTAATGTGTGAATATGTTCTAAGTTGGCCAGACAATACGGTTGCCTATAATTGCTTACATCCACTTCAATTGAACTTGGTGGGTAGTTGTCTTATTGGCAATCATACCACACCCCCTATTTTTATACTGTTCATGTTTTATGACATTTAAAACCATTAAACTTTCATTACATTATAAAGTGTAATACGGATATCGAGTTGTCTGTCTACATTTCTACAAACAGTTAATTTTCTCTATAAAGACGACAAAAAAAAACTGTTTTGCTCTACACTTGTTAATACATACTATGACACCCTCTTATTCTAACATTATATTTTTGAATGATAAATAGAAATAAAAAGATGTCTTATTTTTTCTCTTTCGTTATCCACTGCTGATTCAAGCCCACTGTTAAAGAAAACTAACATGAAATGCAAGATTTGTGATAAGAAAGATGTAGGGTCGGTTTCTCTTGAATTTATTTCACTCAACTGATAAAACAAGTTGCTTTAAAAAAAAAAAAAAGAAAGAAATTACGTGAACCAAAGACACCTGACTGGTCACCAAAACATTGTTGAATGGTTTTGCTTTTGTTTTGATATAATGGACTATGCGTAGATTAAGGAAATGATGATGTTAATACACCTTTATTGAAAACATGTAATTGTGTGTAGACAATGCACAAGTCAGTTAAAAGCACTGTTGGATTTTAGTTGTAAATAGAAAAGTGTATACAGCTACCTTTTAAAAATTGACTATTTTATCCTATTGTTATTCCCAATTTCGGCAAACCGGATATTTACAGCAAATCGCAATATAAATTTCAGCACTCATTTTGCTTTAAAATCTGGATGCATTTATTTTTATCTTTCATATCTTCATATTTTGTTCCTTGGAGCTGTATGAACTCATGGTAGAGGTGGTATAGAGACATTGAAAGTCCATTTCCATGTGAAGTGTAACTCTGTGTCATGCAACTTAGAAGAAGGTTTCGTATTTTGTTTTTGAGAGTAACACACCAGTTTCATGAGGACCACTTATATACTGACAATTATGTTGGTCTCATATAACATCTGACATGTTTTAAAATGGTTTGCTGAAGTTATTTAAATCAATCCAAATATTCTCCAGAAAAAAAATTAGTTTTGAAGAATGTCTTGTGTTCAGAAATTTTATGAATACCTGAACATGCCCTCAAAAGAACCAATTTGTTTAAAAAGATATGTTTGGTGAAGTCATCATAGATGACATAATTAGAATTATGTAAGCCAGACGCGCCTTCCGTCTACAAAAGACTCATCAAAGACCAAATAAAGTACGAAATTGAGGACCAAAAATTTCGAAAGGCCGAATACAGCTAAGGTAATCTATACCTGGGTAGAAAATCCTAAGTATTTCGAAAATTTCAAAGTTTAAAATAGGACTGTAACTCAAAAAATATACAAAGAAAAGAGAAACAACTAGAAGTCAGAATACCTTAATGATGACCACGTTTCAAAGTCAAGCTCTTACTGTCGTGTTCTGAAATTAGATAAGAAATGTGAAAATTCCCATTCCGCGAGTGAAATTAATATTGATACATGCACGTGTTTTCTTGCTCAAGAAACAGTAAATGGAAAGCATACGCACTAATTTTCTGAATAAGAATATGCATTCGCGTTATCATGAATGTTTATTCTAGGCTCAAATCTAATGTTGGTTGAATCCGGATGTCAAACTACCTACCTCAAGTGGGTTGACTCCGGATTCATTTACAATTTTCAAAACGCACCATATTAAAAAGATTTAGATCTAATAAGGTTGAACTATTAAAAACAAAAAAGAATTGAAATTTAATTAAGGGGCTACAGAACATATAAGGGAGTTAATTCTTCAAAAATCAACTCAACATTTTAATCACATACTATTAGTAAAGGGAAATCATCTTCTCAATGATCAAGATTAGTGTTTGTCGAACTGCTTTATATCCAATGAAATTAATCCTGTAAACTGTGTTGTTAAAAGTTTTTGAAATCTTAATATTTTTGTCAACAGGTCAAAGTAATTATTT